GGATGAGTACTCTCAAGCAGCAATAGCATACTATAATACAATATCATCATGCTGGTGGTTATGAGTTTCGGGGATCATACATCCTCAACATGACTGCTTACTAGTATATCTATTCATCATGGAGGAGTGTGCATTGTGTTTGCATCAACACCTAAGCTCTATCCGAGATGAAAACAACATTCAACTTGTCGATTATAATGTGATTCGTCTTGTATACTCCTCCTAGATACCGAATGAGGGCGCATGTATTCAAGAAGAGTGTATAAAACCACATGAACACTAGTCTTGACACCACTTGACCCCCCAATATATGACTTCACTCAGTTCCTCGTATGGCATATTCATGAAAGTTCACTTGACACGCGATACAACCTTCTGAGGATTCTTCAGCGACTGGAATTGTGTAGAAACCATCAATGCGATCTACACCCCCTACATTGCTCTTCCCAGATAGCATTGGCGCCCGTTCTAACGCAATACAAATTCGAATCCCCCATTACTTACATACATATCCTATGATTGAGGGTATATACGAATGTTGACTACGATACTCTTCTTTCAAATGCTTGAGACTGCAACGCAACACTCTATCATAAGCAGTGAATCATTCCATCACTGTGTATATAACTGAAACGCTCTACCATCGGCATTATGTCGTCCCCTCGCTGAGGATATGGCTAAACGCAACTGGACCTCCCGTCACTGTTTCCTTCAACATCACACTATCCTTAGTTATGTACTATCTTAAGTTATGTACTACCCTTATTCTAGATGTGACTATAGCACAACGCTATGTCACCCGCAATGTTCTCCCCTCACTATGGACGTGGCAAAAGCATAGGAATATGCTATCCCCTCACAGTGAATGACACCCCTTCACTGTAGATATGCCTACAATACAGTACCACCCACTATCTTCTGTTATGTACTATCCCCACATTCTTGATGACTATAGCACAACGCTGTATCATCAGTAATATTCCCCCCCCATGGTGGACATGGCGAAAACAGATCAATATGCTATACCCTCATAGTGAATGACACCCCCTAACTGTGGATGTGCCTGCAACATGACACAATCTGCAGTTATGAACTATTCTCTCACTATAGATGTGACTATAACACAACGCTTTGTCATCAGTAAAATGCTATCTCCTCACTGTGGACGTGGCAACAACACAGCAATATGCTATCCCCTCACAGTAAACTTGACATCCCCCACTGTGGATATGCCTACAACACTATCTTTATGTACAACCCCCTCACTAATAGATGTGAGTATGACATAATGTTCAGTAATGTGCCTTACCCTCACTGTGATGTGACTGCAACACTGCAGCGTACTATCCTCTCACTGTGAATACGACTAAAACATAACGCTCTATCGTCAGCAAATATGCCATCCTCTCACCAACAATGCCCTTTGTACGCGCCTTATGCTGTTTAATTGCATGATGATGGAAACCCTCAGACGTCGTTATTGCTACATCTTTGGTAGTGAGGTAGTGGCATACTAGTACTTCGTATTTGCAATTATGATTCGCGTTCGTGTGTATATCGTGGTCGGGTGAGTCCAGCAGGTTCTTTTGCAGCAAAGCTCTCGACGAAATACTAGTGCAGCATAATAAGGAATGCTACGGTTTGCCTGAATTTACTTCTATGCAGCTCTACCTTCCTCTACTAGCTCGCTCGCCGTTGATGAGCCGACCAATACCGAGTTTAGCCAGCGGTGTACTTCGATTTCCAGTGCACACCTTTGAAATATTGGTAGCAAAAAAATGCCTTAGTGAGGTTTGAACTCACGCGTAATCCAACACTTGTCCTACGACGAGTACCTTGACCGCTCGGCTAAACACCAAGTGTATGTCACGACGAATGGTTGTAGCCCTCGCATACCACGCCCCCCCTCCTGAGGGGCACCACCCCATGTCCAGTACGAACCGTACGACTACCACGGATATCCACGGTTATGTCAAGCGTGTCAGACTGACCTGTCGAATTCCTCCCCCGGTGCAGGGCGATGTGTGGCTACGTCTACTGTTCCGTATGCTCCCTGTGAACTGCCGTTTTGCCCACCTCCAAATCGAGCGTCCCGACGCCATTTGTTGTGCCTACGGCTGTGGAGCTGTGGAAACCCAACACCATGCATTCCATGCTTGCCCTCAAATCCACCCCGTATGGTCATTTCACCGGGATGCATGGCGGCGCTATGGAGTGTCTTTTTCATGGTCTACTATCGCTGACTTAGACCTGTTTTCTGTCAATGCCCATGGTAACCATCACAAAGGCGCAATCAGGACCTTGTGGATTCTACTCACGGCATCTACCCTGCACCTCATATGGACCGAGCACAACAAGGTCCAATATGAAGATAAGACCCCTCTGCCTTCCACTGCCTGGAACGAGCTGTCTTTCCTTGGCTGGACGATGTCCGTCCGCCGATGGCTGCGCCTCCAAGACCCCGACTGTCCACTGCGCTCCTCCGTCCTGCATGTCCTCCACACCCTCCGTGCCCCAGCCAACTACCGGCCATTGTGGGCCAAATACCCCTACTCTTTGCACCTTGCGCCGACCTCCGCAGCTGACCAGCGTGCCTAGCGTGCGCCGATATGATAGCGGCAAGGCCTGAGATGCCAAGTTCAACTCTCAAGACTGTCTCAAAACGCATGGTGCCATCACCCTCGCGATTTCTACCAAGAACGTTCTGCGGCCCATCACACTGGCGGCCGTCTCCCCACTCCACTCGATCCAACTGTCTCACCTACGGTATCTCTTGGTACCTCCACGTATTTATTTGAAAACCTCTAAAAACCAGTGCCACCCTACGCACATGCTTTTGCATAGGCATTAGGAATTAGGTGAGCCCATTGGGCAATATTAGTATTGGGATAAAACCTAATATAGTCCTATTTGACACGGTATGTCAAGACGAAGCTCAAATGATATCATGGCGAACTTTTGAAATGGGTGCGGGTGTATTTTTATTGAAAAACTCAGCCAATCAAATCGAATGAGTTCAGTAATATCCTCACACCCGCTTTCCCGTGGAGTGAGGATATTTTGGCTTGAATTGATTAAAGTAACCCCACTCTGTATCCGGACGGGCTGAGTGAGGAGTATCCTCACTATTGTCCACAAAGACTTAAACATGGATCAATTGGATTCGAATGCTATTTGGCGAAATGACTCCCAGTCCAAATTCGGGTGAAAAGCACTATATCGTGTTTTAATAACTGTTGGACTGTACTACTACTGATGTACTAGCAGTAGTTAGTAGTCGTGCTCAATGACATTTGGTCTCTCAGTTATATTGTCAAGAAATTGGCACTACCTAAACGGATGGACCAATCAAAACCCAGATCCTTAATCAAGTAGCCAATCAAATCCACTATTCGAATACGTAATTCAACATCGAATTAGTGTGTGATTGAAATTAGTGTGATACTGGACGATCTTTACATGCAAAAGTCAGGACAAAGACTCTGAGAAGTCGTATAGATGAACGCGAGGCAAAATCCCAACGATTGTTTATGTCTTGTTAACTTGTGAACGCAAACGTGGCCAGCAAGGGTACGTGGTCGCTGCCGTGCACCGAGTTGGGGATCCCGTTTTGGTTGGTCGTTGTGGTGTCGGCGGGGAGATTTCCCAGGGATTTGTCCTGCCATCCCGCCGGTCCGTCTTCCGACCGCAACTCGGCTTCGGATGGAATCTCCAGCAACGATAATGGGCGTACATGCTCGGACGAGTACCTGGTCCATATGGACATAAGTAAGCCAACATGCTGTGATTGATTGGGTGTTCGAAAGGTCAACATACCAGATGTAATCGATGGCCCAGCACCGTCGAAAGTTGACGGTCGTATGCAGAGGTTCGTTGCTTCCAGTGTCGGCTGTACCGTCGGCGATGCGGTAGTCGGCGTACGCGCTCTTCATTGTCCAGTCAGGTCTAAGGCCAATCAATATGACATGTACGAACATAGCCCAACGAAGTAGTAAACAAGCTAGTTAATCAAAGGCGCGCTAATGTTAACATGCAGTAGACATGCCACGATCAGGTACACATAGTTCAACATAGTTGGATAGGTCTGTGTTGCATGGACATACCTGAGGAACGAGTTCTCCATGTACTTGTACAGCTGGGACGACGGGGAGTTGTTGAAGTCGCCACACACGACCACCTAGCGAAGAACAGAGTCGGGAGTGGGTTTCATGGATGAGGTGATGATGATGGACATCGTACAGGAACGGTGCGGCCAGCGGGAAGGTCCTCGGTGTACTTGGCGTGGATGAACTCGGTCAAATCTGCCATTTCGCGGTGCAATTCCACCAGTTGTTTCATTTGGTGGTCGATTTTGCTGCTGTTCCACCACAAGTGGGTGGCACCCACGAGCACGAGCTGGTTGGTGGCGATCTCTTGGAGCAGCACCAGCAGCGCCACGCGATCGTGTTCGTCCGAGAAGTTGACGCTCTCAACCTCCTTTAGTCGGAACTTGGACTGTTTGAAGAACAAACCGCACCCGTCCATCTTTTTCTCGCCACTCCACTCGGAGACGTGGCCTGATGGCCGCTTCACGTACACGCTGTCGTAGCCCAACGCGAGGAAGGTCGGGCGGAAGAATGTCCAGTAGTCACTTAGCTCTTCCAGGCACAGCACGTCAGCCTGCAATGAGGTCAGCTGCCGCACCAGAATCTCTTTGCGTATGGCCCAGTCCAGCAGTGGGGGGTGGACGTACGGGAATCGGTCGGGTTTGGCCAAGTTGCTGGCCAAGATGTTCAACTGAGCGATGGAGAAGGTTGAAGGCGCACTGGGATGTGCAGCCGTTTGGACTAATGATGGAATGGTTGGCATGATGGATGAAGACTTGGAGGACAGTGACCGGCGGTGTGCGACGGCTGCCCGGACGACCCACATGCACTTTCGATGTCTGGGGCCTCTGATTGGCGGAGGTATCCGGATGGTTCACCAGTATCCGGACCGGATAATACGCTTCTCAACCAATCAACGACCGCGATGGTGGCGGCCATTGGATCGTGTCGACACACACCGTATCGAACGATCAGACCATCATGGCATCCTTCCACACCCTCCCTTCGTCATCATGGGCTGATGACGACGACTTCGAAGTGCCTGCACCTGCTTCCACGTGCGTAATGCCATAAGGATCTTGTCCTTCCCGTGCTACGTGTGATGCTGACGTATGTTGTACACAGTCCCGCGGTCGCTCCCATTCGCGAAGCCGCGATCCCCCGTGAAGAAGCGCCTCGTCAAGCGTCGCCTTCCCGTGGACAACGCCACCACGACGACCACCACGACACAGGTTATGGTGCCGGGCGTGGCCGTCGCAACAGCGGCGACAACTTTGAAAAGCGCGAAAAGCTGCCCGTGCCCGACTACGGCCCGTTCAAGGTAAGCAAGCACCGCCTTCAAGGTCCGCGACATATCACACGATCGCATGTCGTAGAGTTACGTGGGCAATTTGCCGTACTCTGTTCAAGAAGACGACCTCGCCGACTTCTTTGCCGGGTGTGCCATCAAGGAAATTCGTATCCCTATCGACTACAACACGAACCGCCCCAAGGGGTTTGCGTACGTAGAGTTTGAGGACCGCAACTCGTTGGTGCACGCGCTCGAATTCGACGGCCAGGTATACCTACCTACCGAGCTCTATGTATATCTACCAATGTCCTTGGTCATACGAACACGCCAACCAATGTCTACGTAGACCGTCAACCAACGCGCGATCCGCGTCGATGTCGCCGGTGAAAGGAAAGGGGGACGCCAAGACAACGGCTTCTTTCAAAAGCGTGACGGCGGAGGCGGCGACCGCTACGCCCGCGAAGACCGTGGCGGCGACCGCTACAACAACCGCGACCAGCGAGACGACCGCGGGTCCCAGCGCAGCGACGGCAACTGGGGTGCCGACCGCCGACCCAGGGATGACCACCACCACCACCATGACCGCCGCGCTCCGTACGTCGTCCATGCAGTGAATTGCTCTGCAACTTGCCGCGAAACAACTCTCCCTCACTCTTGAAACATATGTAGTCGTGAAGACACTGAAATCGACGCGCATACCACGTCCACCGGCCCCGCTGAGCGCCCCAAGCTGTCACTCAAGCCCCGCACCAAGTCGAAAGAAGATGTGGCCCAAGCGACCCGATCGGCCAACGTGTTTGGCGACGCCAAGCCTCGCGATGAACGCAATGTCAAGCCGGTGGCGGATCGACCGGCTGCCCGCCATGACTCGAGTGACCGACCCCAGAGGTACTGCATAATTCGTGGGAATAAGCCCATGGCGGCGGCGGCTGATGGAGTTGTAGGGACGGACCTGGTGGCCGCGGAGGACGTGGAGGCCGTGGGGACCGCGTCGAAGGCGCCGGTGGACGTGGAGACAAGGGCGGCCGAGGCGGTGGTGGCGGTGACGTCAGCAAGCCGACCCGATCGGACGGAGACTGGGGTCGTGGCGGAGCTGCTTCTGCCGCTGCCGCCGCCGTGGTGGAAAAGAAAGTCAAGAAGCCCAAGGCCGACAAGGACTTGACCAAGGTACGATGACAGGCAGGCATGGGGCCATCGATATCGTCAGGGAAGCAGGACCAACTGATGCCCTGATGTTGTAGACGGCAGTGTTCAAGCCGGCGGCCGTGGCCACCAAAGTGGTCAACGCGTACTCGGTGTTTAACAACGACTCGGACTCGGATTAGGAGCTCTCTCATTAGGATGATCATGGAGTGGTGGTGTGTTTATATGAATACATGTTTACACCTTGTGTTTTGCAGCAAATACGACCGTGCTTCGTTACATGGTCATGGTGAACTCGCATCCTCCAAAACCCACGTGGATGGGTTTGGCAAAGTCCAGCCGCACCGGCACTCGCGCTTTCAGGTTGCGGCCGTTGAGCTTGGTGCCGTTGGTACTGTTTTGATCGGCGAGGTAAATGTGGTCGTTCTCACTGCTCCATCGCATCTACACTTGTTGTCAATCATGATAAGGAATCGACTCAAGCACCGACTTCAGCGTGGGTGGTGGAGATCTCTGGATCTTTCGGCAAGCTCAGGCCAAGCGGGGCCTTATACTTCTTGCCCGAAGATCTACCAATGTGGCACACGCGGTTAACGTCCTACCCATGGGTGTTAGACACGTTATAGAGGGCACACGTCGTAATACCGTGGATAGAACCAACGTGAAGTGTTGGCCAGAGTAGACGCCGCTGGTGCAGGCAATATGAATGGTTTTCTTTTCACCATAGGTGCGCTGGGGCTTGGATGACGATGCAGCAGCTGGAGAAGTGGTTTGATGTTGGAGCTGTGTTTCGTCCTTGACGGCGGATGGAAGCGGTGGCTCGTGTGACAACGACGACGAGTCCGCACTAGGTGCTTCCTCTTTACCCTCGGCTAAACTGTCGAAGATTTTTTTCTTGGCTTGGGCTGCTTCTTCTCGGAATTGGGCAAGCGCTTTGTCACGTTGGGTCTGCAGATTCTACAAGCGACCTTTAGCTTATGGCAACATGGGGTCTGCATCGTTACATGCAAAGCTAGGTTTCGTTGCGCTTCGAGGTACTCAATCATCGTTTGCGGTTTGTCCTTGCCTGGAGTCGGGTGCTCCGACAGAGTCGATGAATTTCGAGCTTCTCCGTCCGAATGATCCGTCTCGTCAATCAACGCAGCGCTTGCTGTAACGTTGCATCACGATGAATACCAGCGATCATGAGTAAGTTGCATGCTATTGCTTGTACCTCGATTGCTTCCCGTGGCGGAGCTCATCCTCGCGGCCTTTCTCTTCACACTGCGGACCATGATTGCAGTGCTTCGGATTCAAAAATGATGTCGTATCCGGATATATTTTTAATTATCCGCATAATATGCCAGTTGAATTTTCGATCATGTCCAACGAGCGGCAAAAGGGCGTCGTGGTGAGTAAGGCAATCGCTTATGGCTCCGTGGCGACGTATCTGGGGCGCAAGTCGGAGGAAACAAAGACACATCGATGGCACATCTACGTGCGGGGCATCGAGAACGAAGATCTGTCCTACATGATCAGCAAGGTGGTGATTAGCCTGCACAGCAGCTTTGCAAATCCCGTGCGAGGTATCGTCGACACATGCGGCACCGTTCGCAACCCCTTCATGCTCCATTGCAACCAATTGTCGGTGATCGTTGAACGATGACGTCTTGCTACTACGTAGTGCTGACGGAGCCACCGTACGAAGTGTCCGAGTATGGATGGGGCGAGTTTGAGACGCGGATTCAAATCCATTTCCAAGACCCAGACGAGAAGCCCGTGGACAAAATACACATGCTGGTCTTGTATCCACCTGGAAACCAAATTGCGTCCACGAAGAAGGTGCATACAGTATAGATTCTTTCCCAAGCTGCGTGTTTTCTTCCTCGTCATTGTGTACTACGTACCTACCTACCTACCTTCGCGATGTGCATATCCGCATAGCCAGTCGTGTCGGAGTTTTACGACGAGCTCGTGTTCAACGAGCCCACGGAATTCATGTACAAGAAGCTCATGACAGGTACACTTCTCGATCTTGCAATTGTCCGAGTCGATCGTCATGGCAATGAATGTACGAAGGCCCTGAAAAGCAAGCCCCGCCGAACCCTTTGCAAGAACACTGGCCAGTCTACTCGGAAGCGCATGACCTCAAGCTCCTCGCCGACGCCGACGCCTTCCTCACACGAGAACTGGCCACGGTCAAAGCTCTATTTGTCGAAGCCGACGTTGAAGCGAAGGAACTCAAAGAGAAACTGCAGCAGGTGCAGTCGCAGCTCGTCCTGAAAAAGGCTAGCAGTAGCGTCAAGCCAGCAGGCCCTGGGTATCCTTAATCCAACGACAAATATATTAATATATATATATCAGCAGGGCTATACACGGAAGTTGCCATGGCGACGACGTGAGCATCCTGACGTGAACTTTGCTCTCTGATTTTGATGCAACTTTGCAACAACATGCCTGGAAAAACCCACATCTTTGAAATGTCTCCTTAAAGTACTTAATATCATTGGAGCTTAGGGATGATGATGTAGGATGTCGTCGCTACTGCTGTCCATTGGATGAATGGTTACACTCGAGTTCGTCTCGTTCCAGCTATCCAATGCCCACCTCGTCACCTTCTGTTGTTGTTCCTCTCAACTGTCATCCACTTGTTTTGAAGCAACTTCCACGGCACTATTGACATCTTCGTCATCCTGCAGCAACAAATGGCATTCGCCAAGTGCGTTGTGGGCCACAGACCGTCCTTTGGCTGGGGTGCGAGAAAGACTAGGTATTGGCTCGGGATGTCGCAATTCAACACGATGGCACCCAGCGCGACAACCAGCGCGATGGAGACCTGCATCCCGCTCAAGGTGTGCTGAAACACTGTCACTGAAATTGCAATGATCAGAGCCTTCTGCAACATCGCAACCATGGATGTCGTGAGTACGCCAAACTTTCCCACGGTGAAGAGGATGCACGACTCGCCAATGGCGCCACAGACACCCAGCGCCACGAGGGGGATAGCACACGCTGCCATGGACGCCAACAGGGTTGGCAGCACTCAGGCATACTTACCTCGGCCCTTGCTCGCCAACGACACCAAATTACAGTGTAACACCCCGTGGGCATCGCAGTGGAACCTTACCGCAGGAGTACTTGCGCACTGCTAGATTTTACATCGATAGCGGACTGGTGGACGAGTTTGCCATCATAGAATAGGTTTGTGAGCTGGCAATTACTTCCCATTGTCTCAATCAGTGCTGAGATGAGCTTAACTTCGTGTTTGGTGAGTACCCATGAGGTCGCTCGCAACAATATAAGTGATCTTTGTAGTTGTAACTTAGTATTGAAAATATGATTGTTTGTGTTGTGGTGGAAGGGGGGGGCACCCAGTGAAGGGAGGTCACACAGTGTCCGAGGGCGCCGGCTAACTGCCACCGGCCAGAACTGTCCTACAGTACATGTACTGGTTTAACTTGCCGTTTTATTTATGCTGATCGACACCGTGTCGTGTGCAATTGTCGGCTCGGCAGTATTTCAACCAATAGAAAACATGTTACTACGTAGTAGTAAATGTTAGTGATATGTTCCTCCTGCAACAGCCGCCTCGTCCAATCGGATTGTCGGAAAAAATGCTGACCAATCGGAGTTCAATAGATGCTAAACCAGATACAGCCTTCTATTGGAAAAGTGTTCCAAGGCCAGGATTGAAAGTACTGCCGTAGCAGTTGCGAATAAAGTTCTAAAGAGTGATTGAACTGAAACTACATCGGAGAATTTCGAAAATATCAGCAAATTTCCGAAGTACCCTTCTTCCTGATGAAATGGGTGGCAATTCGGGTATTTGCCTCGAGCTTCCAGTTCTTTGTGAATAAAAATAAGCCTACTGGAGGAATAAAAAATAAGCTAAAAAGTTCTTTGAATAAAAATAAGCCTACAGGAGGAATAAAAAATGAGTTAAAAAATACCCACCTTTTAACTTTTTGTCATTTTTATATTCATTTTAAACCCTCTTAGCGGATCGTTTAACGGTATAAACTAGTTTATATCTTGTTTCATAACCGTTTACTACCTTCATACCCACAACCCAACGGCAGCCCCAGAAAAACAAAATCATGAATTAATTTTGTTATGGAGATGCAAATTGAGACAAAATGGGTTGAGCACCATGGAATCGACTACGAATCAATGCAAGACGTTGAGTACGACAAAGTCGTGAGTTGTGCTGGCCCTCCGCACGTTTTGCTGTCATTGCACTCCCATAGACTCGTAGCGAGCTAGCACAGAGCGATACCAAAGCCTATCAGCTTCACTCTAAGGCATTAGCGAAATGTGGTAGTTCGTCAAAGCAAACGTGAGCTGTTGAATGTTGTCGTAGAACTTGGGGCTCCATGTGAACGTTGCATAGGACACCTTCCATAGGTTGCAAACTCAGCTGAAGAAGTTCTCAGCAATCACTCGATCTGATGACGCCCGGCGGTATAGCACAACGTCTTCAGCATCGAGAATTCCACGAGGCGGGTTTGTCTTGAGGTGAAGGGCCTGGATATCAGCCATGGCTCCGTAGTACCATTGACGACAAGAGCAGCCCACTTCGATGGTGCGAATCCACTTGCTCGCCATGGTCAAATATGTTGAGCTCTTTATAGGTCTTCTTGAGCGCTTGTAGGTGCTGCTCCATGCGTGATCGCATGATCGTCAAGTCGGCCAAGTTATCCGGAAGTACAATTTCTGCTGAGTATTTGATGATAAATTATATGGATATACTCTGTATCGATAATCAAATCATGAGAGTATCTAATTATTTCATTGTTATCTGATTTTGGGGCCTAATCATTTGTCGGTCATCCAATCACGAGGCCAAATTTTGTCGGATTTGTATCGTGTCTGTCGTATCCAACCTACTCTTTTCATTAAAGTAGCGTTTTAAGCTCGCGTTTGCAAAGGTCAACAATGTCGTTTGCTTTTACTATGGCGAAATTTCAAATGACGTCGTTTTTTAAATGAAATCTGATTAGCTTGATGCGAACTTTTCTACTTTTGGTTCGGATTTCCATCTTACACTTTTCAAATGCCCTGCCACATGTAGCCACGAAACCGAGGTCTTCAAGAACACGCTTGACGTGCATGTACAGTACCATAGAAGGGCACTTTGTTTGAGGCCATAGAATGCCCCGAGGATCTGCCAGGCGCGTCCATCGACATCAAAGCCATCTGGCGGCACCATATACATCTCACGATCGTTTGTCGCATGGACGTAGGCATTGGTCGCGTCACCCTGGCGGCAGTGCATGCCACGTTGGGTGGTGATGGCGAGGATCAATCGCAGGGAGTCGCCGCGGACCACAGGAGCGTAAGTCTCATCGTAGTCGACGCCTGGCCGCTGTGCAAAGCCCTTAATAACGACGCGTGCCTTGTAGGTGTTGGAGCTGTCCGGCATGCCCTTGCGTTTGAAAACCCATTTTGACTTCAAGGCTCGCATGTCGTGTGGTACGTGGGATAGTTCATAGCATCCCATCGACCGGAGGTTGTTGATCTCCTTTTGGCAGGCTTCCAGCCAGCCGAGCGAGAGGTACGTCGTTCGTGATCCATGGCACTGGATGCTGCGTTTTCTGACGGCGTTCTTTCTTTCACAGGCGAGTGGCGGCGAGGGCGGCCGACTCTGGGACTTGAAGGCGATGGTGGCGTTTCTTGCGTTGCTGGGAGCGGTGCTGTTTGAGGCGGCAGTGGCCCGGCGGCTTTGTCGGGTGTCGTGCACGAGCACAACAGGTGGGTAGTGAGCTAAAGGGGCGTTTTAGTATCGAATGGGGGTTGATTTCCGTGTCATTCGTGTAGGTGATTGGTGCCGAGGGCTAACGGGCGACAACATGGGCGCGAATTGCCGAGGCGGCGCAGCAGTGTCCACCGTCGGCTGCGACTTTGGTTCGTAATCGAACCAGGACATGTCCGCGTCGTGGCTGTCGGGTTGGAATGTGTCGGCTACGTCATCCGAGTCGTCAACGAAGGTGGTACGTGGTTGAAGGAAATTGTTTTTTTTCATGAACTTGCAGTCTACAGTGAATACGACCTTGTTGTCTTCTAGGTCGAAGACTTTGTAGACCTTCTTGGCCCCATGGTAGGCGAGAAAGACACAATTGTTTCCTTGGGGCTCCGTCTTGTCGTCGGCGTCGTTGCGGCGGAAACACACGGAGCCAAAGACTTTGAGGTTTGAAATATTTGGCTTGTTCCTGCGCACCAACTCGTGCGGCGTCTTGCCGCTTGTCTTTGCATTAGGGATCCGGTTGCGAAGAAAGGTAGGTGGTTGTGCTGATGGCCTCGGCCCACCAGCGCTTGGATAGGTTGGCGTGGATTAACATAGTGCGCGCCATCTCAACCAGTGTGCGTTTCATCCGCTCGGCGGTCCCGTTCTGCCACTGCCGTCTGGCAGTGCTGGTTTCATGGTGGATTCCTTCTTCCTTGAGGTATGTCTCAAACCGTTCATTGATGCATCACCGCCGTTGTCCGGCCGTAGGGTCTTTACCTTGACCCCAGTCTGCCTCTCGATCCACGGTATGTATTCGAGGGTTGCCTCGTATGCATCGCTCTTCTTGGACAACGCTTTGATCCACACGTGGTTGTAGCGGTCTCAGTATATGCAAAGAAATATTTGGCGCCGTTCGGCGACTCAACTTTGGCGGGTCCCCACAGGTCAGTGTGGACGCATGTGCCGAGTGCATGATTGGACATGTCGCCGACTTTGGGAACCGAGGTAAGGTGTATTTTCATACCAAAACCGTATGTTACGGTGGGGTATCGCCAGTGACACTGCTCTCTGTGAACTTCAAGGAACGACATTGAAGTTACGTGTGACCACGACGTCTGAGAAGAGCAAGACCACCACCATGATGTCGTTCCAAATGTCCCTTCCACATGCGCTCGATGGGTTCTACATGGACATTCCGGCTAGCCTGCAAGGTCTGTTTGAGAAACGGATCCTGTTTGAAACTCTGCAACGCCTCGAACCTCGTTTCTAATGGGGTACATGAGTGTGTCTGTGACGACGGGCCTGGCTGGATCACGCTATCGGGTCCCTCGTATGCAGTCTTCACATGTCAGAGTTGCAGGTGGTTTATCGGGTCCACCCACGGTAGCCTTACACATGGCTACCATAGCCTTGGTGGGGATGTGGCCGAGGCGGGCAGGCCACAACATGGCTTCACTGTCATCGGCCAAGTTGGCCTCATTGTTGGCTTCGAGTGACGAGATTGTGGTGCCGCGCAGGACATACAGGTATGATTCGTTCCACATGGCGGCGATGGACAGCTGATTTTTGATCTTGATGTCACAGTAGTTCTGTTTGAAGAACAGTGAGGTCTCCTTCGAGCGGTGGGTGATGCGGCCTATGGAGATGAGGGTCTTCGTCAGTGTTGGTACGCACAATACGTCTGAGAACACGGCAACTCGACCGGTGTCCAACGTGACTTCATCTTGATTGTTCCCATAGATGTCACTGCGATGGGGTGGCCGTCTGCAAGTCGGACCCCTCGTTGGCAGCACACGACGTTGTGGAGGAGTCCAATGTCCCCAGTCATGTGGGCGGTGGCGCCGCTGTCGACGATCACTTCGCGTGGAGATGGTGAGTTGACGCTGTTGCATTCATCCTCGATTGACGTCGCGTACAGGGCGAGATCGGCGTTGACGGAGTCGATCGGGTGCTCTCTATGGTCGTCAACGCAGTCAGGCAAAGTTGATGACGTCGTCGTCGCCTCTTTGTTGGAGAGAGGTGACGCAATCTTCTCCTAGGAAGAGGTCGTCATTGTTGTTATCGTATGCGTAGTGGCCTTGGTCAGAGCCGCGCCATTCGCATTGTCTTGGGCGGTTTTGCCCGCGACCACGTCCACCTCGACATCCATTTCGACCACCACGACCTCCGTTGGGTTGGCGGTTGCCTGGACCGTCAGGTCGGTCATTTTTTTCACGGATCGACGGCGGATGCCCTTGGCCTCGTCCGCCTGTCTGCGGTGACATTCGGGCGGGTAATGTCCCGCTTTCCCGCAGTAGTAACACTCTCCCGAAGTTGTGTTGAGAGCATCATCTGATCTGCTTGCATTCCTGCGTAGGTTGGGGCCGTGCATTTGTTGACGCTCATCGTCGAGCTTGAGTTCGGCGAGGATTGTGGGCAACGAGGAGTAGCGGGTGTTGGTGCGGGCCTCGTGTGTGATGAACATCATTGTGTTCGCGAAGTGAGGCAGCAGCAAACACAGGTAGCGTGTGATGTAGGATGATTCCGGCGTCATGTCTCCGGCCGCGGCCATCTTGCGCATGAACTCATGGAACTGGTCATTGAAGCTTTCTAGCCCCATGCGTTCACTCCACTCCAGCTTGCTCATTTGAAGTTGTAGAGTGACGAGGTTCACTTCGGATGCGCTTCATAGATGGCGCGGAGGGCTTCCCACGTTTGGTAAGTCTTGGACGAGGCGTGCGTGTATTTTAGGTGGTCGCCGTGGATGCTGAGTTGGATGTAGGAGAGCGCAACAAGATCATCCGCCTCGTTGCGGTCGGATGCGTACACTCCTGGGGCAATCTGACATTGGAGAGGTACTTTCCAAACCGATGCTGGTTGATTTTTGCTCGTTTCTTGGCACACGATACGCGGTACTGCCATCAGCCTTGAGCTTCGTAGATGATTCGAACGTGAATTTGTCGGTCATGCTTGGGCTCATAACCTTTTGATTGCTGCGCGAACACAAGGTTGAGAGCAAAGACGTGGACTGGTAGTATTTGGAAGTGAGTGGCTGATAGGCTTAGCTAATCTCCGCAGTACTGTAACTAACATAATATGTAAGCTCGTATACTATCGATGTAATCGTGGAATGTCTTGAAGAATGCATTCGGTGCACGACATACATGGATGCATGGACTTGGTCGTCGATCAGAAACTGAGGTACTTATGGGCAGAAACCACAACATTTATGTCCATGCATGTTCTGCTCGATGTTAGGATAAAATAGCAATGTGAGTGGGTCCAAAGTGATGGACCTACAAAACGCACTGCAGCACACACGGGGAGGCTGTTGCACACCGTGCCTACCCCGACAATAAGTTGCTCCCTATGGTTTCCGTAGCACTACTCAAGCAGTGCACTGTAGGTTTTTCAATGTACAACTATTCCCCCGACATCAGTCGAAATAGCCAGGTGGAATTTGCGTAGTGGACTTCGTGTGAAACGATAAGTGAATTTTTTCCTATGTCGTACCTGCGAAAAATGATTTTCAGGTAGAGTTGTTTTCCACTACATAGGGATGTTTGTGTCGTACTGCGTATAACGTGAATCTGCGTCCGTGGTATCCTTGGTCGGGTAATCATGTGATAACCTTGAAAACCCAGGGCCATACCTTAAGGTTAGAGCATCCCCGCCGGCAGATGTAGAAATGTAAAAATCTTCTAAGTACATCATTGCATCAGCAAAATTTACATTTTTCAGACCCACACCGGTTGCCAATAAATTTTACATCATGATATAAACGCTCCATAAACACGGATTTCTCAACAGATCTGGTCGTTTACAGTTCTATGCCATTGAGGTCCCAATGTACTTCTTCAACGAAGCATGCCACCCGACGTCCTGAAGCACACCGGCAGCATTAATAAGAATCTTACAGACAATAGAATGTATGCCAACCCTGCTGCACTAAATTCTCGACTGGCGAGAGCTCCAAAACCTCAATCACCAGCGGGCGTCCAACGCGACTTTGCTCCATCAGGGCTACAATTTCCGCCAACCGGTGTGGATTGGCTGTGAAGTGATGTATTACTGTTACAGCACGCACCCAATAAACGGGTCTTTTCAGCTCTATGTTTACATGCCGGTGGGGATGCTCTTAAGGGGAATAAGGGTTACCATCTGGGGGGTGAAGGAGATCCTATTTTAGGAAGCGTATCAAACTACCCTAACTATCAGCATGCTGTTAGTCGGGAATTGAAATCAAATGACAAAGGTCTATTCTGGCACTGATATCGTTTGATTAGGCAAGAACCAATTGAAAGATAAGGCCACGGCCACGCCAGCTAACGGAAACGTGAATGTAATGGAAGCTACCCGAATGGAGCCGAATGGCATGGGCCAATCAGGAGCGACTATGGAACGCCCCAAAGTGTTGGCCAAAGAAAATACCAAGAAGAAGTCGACAACGACGGCGTCGACAAAGTTGAAGGCTCCACCTGGGATCACCGCAACAGTGCAGCATTACTAAAAAATGCCGCAGAAGGCGAACATTTTCTGTCTAATGCGTGGAGCGAAGCCCAGCGCAAATTGTTACAACGAAATCAGTTGGCGTATCCAAACGATTCGGAGGAAAAAACCAAGGATGACCCCAATGTGGACAATCAGCGTATCCAGGCCTAAATTTCTATGTATGGGATTGGAGGGGTTGAAACCTACTCAAGCCGTTTCATACCACCAACGCAACCTACAGCGGGTAAAGCGTTGCATCAAGTACCAAAGCGTTTGGCCTCGGCGCTGGAGACCGGTACTTCTTCGGCTAAACATGCGAAAACGCAGTTGGTCAGCTACGCAACGAATCGTGGAAAGGACAAAGAAACCGTGTTGAATCGTCACGGAAGCGCCGGAAGCAACCCCCCATTGCGAAAACAAAACTGACCGTCAAAGCTGCCAAGATAAAGGAAGCTCGGCAAAAGCAGCGTGCGAAGAAATCTCAAAAGTGGTCAGCTGAAGAGGAACCGCATGTGGAAGACTTCCTGATGGAATTTGTTCCCACTCAGCCTCCGATCATACCCGAAGGCCGTGCAATGAGCCGTGAAGAGATGAAGTTGCTCCTCGCTACATGCACAGCAGCGAGGAGCAACTTCAACACCGATGAAACATATTTCCGGCGTTCAGTTCGCGGTACACTGCCACGATACAGCGAGTGATGGATCTGCACAACCCATTGGCAAGAACGTATGCCACTGCCAAAAAATGTCTGCATCGAGCGGAACGGACAGGAAATCGAGGGTAATCTTCAAATTGTCCTGAAGGATGTTGGTAGGGTACAGGCTCAAACAGACGACTTGCCTACCGTGGCTCAGCTTGCGGTAATCATGGAGGTAGCCGGCTGCGAACTGACAGAAGTTCGTCA